TTTGCATTATTCACATTTAAGGGAAACAAAAAACCATCTGAACAACATTGGGCCTTTCAATTCTGCATATATAAGGTTCCAAGTCCAAAAATTAGCTTTCCAAAGAATTATTTTATGTTTTTCAAAAATAACTATGTTTTCAAACTTGATACAGCTATTTTTCAATTACCTGTAAATGGATTTGAGTAGACCATGTCATTTTCGTGTTCTACATTAAATTTTGAATAAGAATAATAGAAAATTACGGAGGAACAGTTGTAAAAACTCCATTGTAAATAGATTTAAAGATAAAAATTAAGATGTTTGATAAAAATTTAAAAAACATTGGTCTATTGTATTTGTTCACACCCTGTATACAAGAATGTGTCCGAATATGTTAAAAACTGCGCCATTTTATAAGCTTTCTAACCATATGCTACACTATTGAGGTTTAGATACTCTGTTGTTTGTTTTAGTGGTTTGAATACCAGAAAACAGGGAACTTTTTTACTTTTTTTGCTGTTCAAGCTGAAACAAAAATCCAACTTTTGCTTAATACATGCCGGGTTCTATGTTTTAAATGTTAAAGACACCCTTATTTTTATCTTTGAATCTATTTACAATGGAGTTTTTACGACTGATCCTCCGTCATTTTCTATTATTCTTATTCAAAATTTAATGTAGAACACGAAAATGACATTGTCTACTCAAATCCATTTACAGGTAATTGATAATAGCTGTATTAAGTTTGAAAACATAGTTATTTTTGAAAAACATAAAATAATTCTTTGGGAAGCTAATTTTTGAACTTGGAACCTTTTATATGCATCATTACACTGCATTTACTTTGTACTTACGCCAAAAAGATTTTGTCACACTGTTGACCAGCCACCCTGTACAGTATATAACTTAAAAGGCAAAGCCCTCACTGACTGGCTCACTCGTATCACTAATTCTCTTACTTCCCATTTATCTAGGAGCACAGGAGGCTGAAATTTGGTACACTGATTCTTTAGACATTAAATAGGAAAACTAAGCTGTTTTTATTCTGATCGGACTCTCGGGCTCCGCCCCAGTGGCTCTGGAGTTTCCCATGTTAACCTTATGAGTACTCATATTTAAATGGAATTAATGAATCTTATCAGCTGTTTCAATTAAATAAGTTGGTTCTGTTCTATGATGTTTAATAGCATTAAAGTTACAATGATTACCAACAGGGTGCAGCACTATTTTTTTCTTTTACATTTATGACAACAGCTAATTCGCAACCAAAAGATTAGTGAGCGTAGCGAACGAACTTCAACCTGGAGGCGAGTTAGCGTAGCAAACGAGCTAACTCGAAGGCAAGTGAGCGCAGCGAACGAGCTCCAACCTAAAAGTGAGTGAGCGTAGCGAACGAACTTCAACCAGGACGTGATTGAGCCATGCGAACGAGCTCACTTATAAAGTTAAACGGGGCAAAGCCCGCGGGTACAGCTAGTACACGTATATAATTGAATATACGTGTACTCAATGATATAACATACGTTATAACAGTAACTAGCCAAATTATTGCCACTTGAAGCAAATACAATTGTGATAGAGAGACAGAAAATCATGCAGTTCTTAAGTAATGTAAACAAAATGTTATCGTTGTAAAAAAATTACAGAAATTTGTAAACGTACTGACAACAATGGGTAGTACCATGCAGACTACATTATCATTGACGAAGATCAACATGGACAACGTAATGCGGCTATAAGTGGAAAATATTTGTAGAATACACTAAAAAAACTAGATCAGCTTTTGAAAAATGATAAAATATTTACAAGAAATGTTGATTATATGGAACTGTTAGGTACGTGATCAATGAGTTGAGTCTTTTAAACTCATCGGAAATTATGACTTTTATTAGGTTTTAAATAAGTTATTTGTTTTGAAACAACTACTTTACTTCTTCGCAATTGCTTGATTTCAAGCAACATGTACACTAGTAATAATTAATGTTAATTTGTTGTGCTTATTTCTGAGCCTATTTTAATTTATAAAGAGATTCTGCACATCTACAGGCAAATATCCTTTTAACAGTATGTGTAAATTTTCCCTGCGATGCACACGAGCTGAGAAAAAAGGTTTTAAAGAAACATTATTGGCTATTAATACTATGCATATAGTATATAGATATTTGTGTGTGTGTGTGTGTGTGTGTCCATGAACACGATAACTTAAATCATGTTTTGCCCGATTTTGATTAAATTTGGTTTGAAGGTGTAAAAGGGGTTAAACTTGAATGCGTAAGGTAGGATAAACTTCAATGTGTTTCCGAACCAGCATGATCGGACCATGGGAATGGGGTATTACGGGGTAAAAATTGGGTTTTCTCATTTTTAACTCTCAAAACACGCAAAATGTCCTATTGGAGAAAGTTCTTAGACCTTTTTGTCTTTTTAACTGTAATTTTCTTTTAACTGACAAAATAATTGAATAAAACATAAGTATAACCTTTGACTATTAATATACAACAACTTCTGTATCCAATAGTCAATGGTATAACTTAATAAATGTTCAACGTAGGCAGAAAGAAATAGTTATAGTCTGTTACTTTTTAGGACATTGAAGATAAAGGATGATAATGAAAAATTGATGACCAACGATACTAAGGAAAGACCTGTTATTAACACAAATTTTAATGAAACATCAAGATCAAACTTGTCTGAGAAATTGAGCTTTGATGCGAGTTTCGGCCCTACAGAGTAAGCAAGTGCATATCTTTTGTGGCTCAAAATATGTAACATGTAACTCTTCAAAAAGATATCTGATGTTCGCAAGTGGCTGTCACCAATCACGTGTTTAGGCAAGGCAACTTAAGTGGGCGCTTGTGCGCGCACATGTGACGCACGAACAACGAACAGCTCGAGGCGCATGCGCCCCAGTGCATGGGTAAATGTGCCCATGCTCGCGACGCACATGCGAGGCGGCAGGCACCAGGCGCCTCGCATGTGCGTCGCGAGCATGGGCACATTTACCCATGCACTAGGGCGCATGCGCCTCGAGCTGTTCGTGCGTCACATGTGCGCGCACAAGCTCCCCAGTGTGTGGGCCTCTAAAGGGTCCCAAATTCCTAGCCTTGGCTAGCTGAAAAGCTGCCAAGAGGACGAAGAAGGATAAATTTTGACGTCCCACCGATCTGAGGATTGTGGCGAAGAAAGAAGAGGTAAAAGGTAAAACACAAAAACTATGAGTGGGTGAATAAACATAACATAACGCATAGCCAATGGCTATACTGTATGATGAGGCAATAAGAACGCCACGATTTGTTTTAGCTGTCACATGTTAATTGTTGCAACAATGAATGATCAGCTGTGCTTATAACATCAACTATGCCATTTTAGTAAACATTATGCCTGAGGCTATTAACACTGAGATTTTGATGTGGAAACCTATTTTTAAAATAGTGATTCTTGTGCAAAACCCAGAGATTGTTTGGACCACATTCTATCCTTAGTCAACAAGGCGTTTTTCCAGATTGGAAAACAATGGTGAACTTGGTAAAAATTATTTAGGATAAATGCTTAAACCTTAAAAATGATCGGTGGGTGCCGCAAAACTATTTGTAAACCAGTAAATGTTGAAAGTGTGCGAGTCGCAATAACTCAAAGTCCAAAGAGATTTGCCAGGAAGCTTTAGTTGTTAAAAGCTTTACGTTAGCTCCTTTTTTGGGAGGGGGGATTGCTCTAATAAGCTACTTGAAGTTCGAGGTTTTTCAAAGTCATCCCACAGATTTGCTTGAACCGAAGCTAAGAATTGTCCAAAAACTAAAGTGATTCCTGAAGAAATGCTGGAGGAGTATTTGATGGAGTTTTCAAGTGCCTAAAAAGGAATGTCAAGTAGTACAAGGAGGACACTTGCAGGATTTTGTTCTCAAGAAATGGAGAAATGACTTTGTTAAGTTAAAATGGCAAATTATAAGCTGTGTTTTGATGTGCTATTTATATCCATAGGGTGAATATTATTGATTTTGTACTTCTTATAAATTGGGGCGCTTCCATTGCCCCATCCTGTATATATATTATATTTTTTTTAAGGGTCCAGGTCTTAAAACGAGTACTACGGTAATAGTTTATTCCCTATGTGGGAAATTCTCGAAAAGGCCGCCAACCTCTTAAAATATATTTATATATATAGCCGTGCGTGATCGTTACTTGCGATGGTGGCAACGCCATAATAATTGCAGTCACGTTATGCGTATCTTACACAATCGCGACAACATCCACGATAATCTTCTGCGATTATCTCAGCATCCATGCCTATTTGTGATTGCGGCCATATCTCTGATCATATCTCAATCGCTGCGAAATTCATTATGATTTTCGTATCGCGGTAACAGTCGTGATGATTTCAGCAATTGGGGTGACGTCCTGTATTCGTGATGGTTTGCTGCGGTTGTGATTTTCCACTTCGCAAAACGAGAGAGGCCATTCGGTAAGCGTCTCGTAAATTTTTGAAGTTATTAAGAATAACCATAGTCCAAGGGGTTTCCCTACGGGTTTAGTAGTTTAGTGCTTGGGTTTAGTGTATGACATTTTTAAAGTGTAATACAAGTGTTAAATAAGGGGTTTTTTCAATTATATAAAACATACGTAGGAGCTGCAAAAAAGGTATTATATGAAAAACTATTTGTATATGGTCACCTAAAAATATATTGCCTGTTAGCATCTGTTAGGCAGCCACGATGCCACAGTTACAGTATTTACTGCTTTACTGTTTTTCGATTAAAAGGTACTCACTATCAAAATGTTACTGTATACTACAACCACTGAATATACTGTATAACACTATGACTATATTCAATATTGAATTCAACACTATTTATTGGTTATAAAACACTAAATATTGTTACATATTCAATGCTAATTCGTCTAATTCGTAATGATTGTTGTTCGAAAGTCTTTGGGAAATTACAAGAAAACATATGATTTTGTAAAATAAAACACGTTCAGCGCGCACGTGACGTCACTATGACACACCAACCAACGACCGACACTGTCGGTCCGACAGATATTCGGCTGTCACACCACAATCAAAATTGGTTTGAGGTTAGGTTCAGGTTTGAATTCTCAGTTTTAAAATAGTATTACTTATGGTGAGTGTTTTGCTGTCTCGATCTATGGACAGATTTTGTAAGCTAAGTTTAGTATTAGTACAACTAGGGTTATTCACTGTTGGTAATACTCTTAGTAAAAAATACAATTTCAGATCTTTTATGATGGCAAGTGCTTCAAAAAGTACATGTCAGCTAGTGCAGGATTTAAAGGAATGGAAGTTTGGAAAATTAAAATTACTGGAACTCCCAATCGATGATGAGAAAAACAATTACGTTAGAAGAAACAATAGAGGCTGCCTCTTCTCAGAAGTTATGCCAACACCCTTGAAATCTCCAAAGTTGGTTTCATTTTCTAAAGACGTTCTAATAAATATTTTGAACATGGACCCAAATGTGACAAAAACCCAGGATTTTGCAGATTTTATTGCTGGTAACAAAATAATGGAAAACTCCGTTCCATTAGCACATAGGTATGGCGGGCATCAGTTTGGTTATTGGGCAATGCAATTAGGAGATGGACGAGCAATACTACTCGGAGAATTCACAAACAGGTAGGCCCTAAGTTAATATTATATGCCTAGTTTTATTGGCTTAGATAATAAGCCTTTAAGCAATATTTTATGCAGATACTTATGATGGGTGTCCACATTGTGGAAAGTCAGGGGTAGGCCTAAGTTACCCTAGTCATGGAAACAAATTCTGGTCATGTAAATGGCAAAAAGTCATGGAAATCAGATGGATTTGAGGGGACCTTTCAATGCTCTAGTCGGCCGTAACTTATGGTAACCCCGACTATTGTAGCATTTTTCAGGATTGTTCACAAATGTAGGCTATGACAATTCAATTTATTTTATACAGTTGTATTAGTTTAACTGGCTGCACTTTAGTTTACGTCCTACACTCATTCGAATGAATATATAGATTGATATATAGGCCTAGATTATTTCATTCCGTATATCAAGTTAGTTAGGAAAACTTAACTAACTTATCCGAATGAAATAATCGATGTATCGAATAATATAGGACCTTATATCAATATTTTTCATTTGAATGAGTGTAGGATGTATACTTAATCTCAGCCGGTTAACTTATGAGTTTTGAGTTTGTTTTAGTTCTTTGTTGTACCTACTTGTAAATACTCCATTGTTATCTGTTATATTTCAGTAAGTTATTTTCTGTGAAATAACTTGTCTAGGCAGTACCGGTGTTATTCATGCGTGTAGGCCTATAGTGGAAATAATAGGCCTACAGCAACACCTCGAGTTGACACACACACAAAATGGGCCTATTCCCAAAGACAAACCAATTCATAAACAACCGCCGCTCCCTAATACGACCAACAACTGCGAAAATATAAATGTGCCCCAAATAACACATACTATGGCCACTGAAACACAAAATCAAACACAAACCTACTTTGTCCAAAGTAGGCCTACAGAGGACAAGAAGACGGCCACGAGACTTCAGCAACCTACCCTGAAATTACCCTGTCAAAAAACCCGCAAAAACTCATCACCATCGCTACTACTTAGACCTGGAACAGGACCAACCAATCCAAACCAAATGCAACCAATCTGCCACAACAAAATCCAACAAAATACACCACAAAAAAGAACTAACAGTACTACCGGTATATATAAATATCCAAAGAAGCCTACAGAAAAAAATAAACCAGCTAGACATAGAACTTCACTCAATAAATCCTAAGTACTAATAATTTCTGAACATGGCCACCTAGCTGAATGTATGGAAACCATCCACATACAGGGATACACGCTACTTAGCAACTCCAGGTACTCCAGAAAACAACACAGATGGGGAGGGATAGCTGCCTTCGTTAAAGAGGAAAATCCAAAACAATTACTCCAAGATCAATACAGATGCCTTTTGCGAAGAACTAGTTTCTGAAATAGATCGCCATCAACTAACCTCGACAACTGCTTAAAATACATTGACGCACTTCTCTCAATATACTCAAAAAAGAAGGATATTATATTTATGGGCAACCTAAACATAAACCTACTTCAACCCCAAGAACCCGACACTATCAAACTTAAACATTTTCTACTGGAACACAACCTGGAAGCTGGAGACATCCCCTATACAAGAATAACCCCCACCTCAATCAGTAGTATCGATCTCTGTGCTACAAATTTGGGACTAAAAAACCTGACCCTCAACACCCACAAATTTCCAATGTTGGATCATTTAGGGATTAAATGCAAGATCATTAACCATTCTGCTGAACAAAATAAACCAGTAAAAAAGCTCATTAGACCGACCACAACAGACAGACTTGACCATCTGAAACTTAGCCTCAGAAACCAGGATTGGGAGGAAGTCTACTCTACACCAAGAGTTGAAGAGAAATACAAAAATTTCACAAGAATATTAATATATGAAATAAATAACACCATGCCAAAAAGGTACATTACCCTAAAGCATAAACCCAACCACATCTTCTGGGACCAAAATCAAATCCATCTGAGGAACCTGGTAAGCACAGCTCATAACAAATTCATACCAAGCAACACAGAGGAAGACAACAAAATTTGAGCACACCATTAAAACAATTTCAGATGCCTCCAACAAAAATAAGACCATGTGGAAAACAATAAACAGAGAACGGAAAAATAAAGAGCACAAAAACCCAAATATGACCATCAACATAAATGGAAAACCTACTACTGATCTGAACAAAATCACTATTAGCCTCAATTTATTCTTTGTCAGCGTTGGCAGCAACCACCACTCACAAACCCTAGTAACACAACAACAGCACAGACAACCGACCAGATAGAACAGGCAAACAAGCCTCACACACTTCAAAACAATATCAAGAAAGGATCTGAAGCAAATTTTCAAACACCTACCCCCCAAAACTTCATCAGGCCTAGACGAAATCTCAAATAAGATAATAAAACATTGCCAAGACGAACTGATTATACCCCTTCTAGATATCATAAACACATCAATTATACAGTCAACAGTGCCTCAAGCGATGAAACAAGCTTTGGTCTACTCCAAATACAAGAAAGGAGATGACCGCCTTATGCAAAACTACCGCCCCATCTCGGTGCTGCCAGTGCTATCTAAATACCTTGAAAAAGCTATAAACCACCAACTAATCTCATTCCTGGAAGAAAACCACCTACTAAGCAGCAATGCCAGCAATCAACATGGCTTTAGACAAAAAAAGTCCATAAATACCGCTCTAATCCAACTGTGTATTTCAATCACTGAAATTTGGAGAAAAAAGCAACAAGCGAATGGTATATTTCTGGATCTCGAAAAGGCATTTGATAGCTTGGACAGAAGCATTTTAATTGAAAAACTCAAACTTATCAACATCACCGGCAATGCACTATCCTGGAGCCAGAGTTACCTAACAGACAGAGAACAACTTGTAGAAATAGAATACAACTCAAAAAACATCAAAACAAATTCAAGAAAAAAACCACCACCGCAATTTCCCAAGGGTCGGTCCTTGGACCTCTTTTTTTTCTTATCTACATAAACGCTCTTCCAACACTCCTTCCTGAGGATCACACCTGTATCATGTTCGCAGATGACACAACCATCATCGTCCCTGACAAACCAACAGAAAAACAAAAAATAGATGAAACAATACAAACCACTAGCGACATCTGCCAAGACATCAACCGAACAATAAATAAATCCAAAACAGTCCACATTAAATTCACAACCAACAATAGAACAGACTCAGACACAAAATCAACCAAATTCCTCGGCATAATACTGGATGAAAACCTAAACTGGCAACCACGCCTTGAGAACCTCCATAAAAAACTATCAACGGCCCTGTTTGCCCTAAAAAGAATCAGAGAGATCACTGATACAACAACTACCAAAATGGCATACCATGCGCTCTTTGCATCCCACTTGAAATTTGGAAATATAGCTTGGGGAGGAGCTGGCGAAACACACCTGACACAAATTTTCCTACTTCTGAAAAAGGCAATACGACTGATAGACAAGGCTCACTACCAAGCCCACTGTAAACCGCTCTTCATTAAACACCATATCCTGACCCTGACTTCTCAATACATCCTGGACACCATAATCCACACCAAACTAAATCCGCCCCCATCCCGACATGAATGCCACAAATACAATGTCAGATCAGGGAACAATTTGAACCTTAAACAGCATCGACTCCAAAAAACAAGCAAAACACCCTCATACATGGGAATAAAATTGTTCAACCTACTGCCAGAAAATATCAAAACCATAAACAACAATAACACATTTGCTAAAACCCTCAAAACCTACCTGTTAAATAGACCTTATTATAACCTGAATGAATTTTATGAGGAGCATAAATATCACAACAGAAACTAAACCCAACCTAAGACACCTAACAACACCATTTAGACACTCACACACACACACAAAATACAACTTCCCACATCAAGAACTGACGACTCTCCAGTCTCAGACGATTGTGAAGAGGAGGACCCATGGTAAATGGTAAATGTATGTTAAGTTATAAACTTATTATAACTTTCTAGTAAAGTTCCTGAGTCATGGAAATCAATGGTTAATGGTCATGGATAGTCATGGAAATTAATGACAAATTTTCTGTGGACACCCTGATAACATGAACGTTTAAAATAGGACTAAGCTTTTTTTACCCTTCTTAGATGTCAGTCCAGAGTTTCCTTTCGGGTGCATTTATTATTAGGCCTACAAAAAAATATTTTTTATCACTTTACCTTACAGGCCTTTCTTGGAACCAATTGAACATCCTATTTCACTCCTCCCTCCCCCGTACTACCCATATAAATTATTTGAAGCCCTGAGAATCACGTAGCACGGAGCCCTCTTCAGCTTGTCACCACTTGCGCTACTTGTCCGCTACTAAAATACGTTCCCGGAGTATAGTTCCGTGTGTGACCGGTTCAATTAGGCCTAGGGTTTAAATCTAAGGGGGGGGGGGGGTTAAAAAGTTGAATCCAGACCCTCTGATTGTACATGGTGTTGTTCTTTTTTAGCATAGCCTATTTCCCTATAGGGACGTAGCTATTACCGTAGGTGGTATGGTGAGGCCAAGACGATATATTTTTTCATTTTTATGTCCCCAGAGGGCAAAAACAATATTCGTTCTTCCAAATGGTTATAGCCTAGCCTATTTGTATTAACCCATTCAAGTTCACTCCACCCTACATCTTCAAGCCAAATTTCATCAAAATCGGACCAAAATTAGACAAGTTATCATGTTTACAGACCCCCCAGTATAACTTAACTACGGTACCTGATTTTATTTTTTATCAGGCCCACTTTTTTATGAGTTTGCGAACAAGCATGATGAGCGGACCATAGAAACGGGGTTTTATGGGCTGTTTAAGGGGTGAAAATGTGTTTTTCTTATTTTTGAACCTGAAAACATAAAATTTCTCTTTCAACCATTTTAAAGGGATTCAAAAAAAAAAAAAAAAAAAATAGCACTGTAAGCTTATATTGTAGCTTATAGGTTTATTGTAGGCCTACAGTTACTTTTTGGTTACGGATAAAATAACAAAAATTGTAAAATTAAAATTCCCAGGTTATTTTTAAGGGACGCCATATTGAGATTCTTGTAATTTCCCTATTGGATTTGATGATGATTGGAGTGTCCAATCAAAATCGATCACCACTTACCATATAACATCTTGTGAGTAAACAGTATGTGTGTAAATATATTGTATACAAGTGTTATTTGACATATTTTTGTGCTGTACTTTCAGTTTTACTTCCAAAGAGGCCTTGGGCCTTCTTCAAGACAGCAAGACCGTTGGGCAGAAGTTAAGAATATTTTTGGTGTCCATCTAAATCTGTCAAAAGTTTAATCTAGACCTAAGCCTATTTAACATTTTTGCCTAGCCTAAAAGGAGAGCCAACTCTAGATGTGACATTTTAGTGCAGGTGATCGCTGGGAGTTGCAGTTGAAAGGTTCTGGCAGCACTCCATACTCTAGAGATGGAGATGGACGAGCAGTGTTGAGGTCATCAATACGAGAGTTCCTTTGCTCAGAGGCTATGTATTATTTAGGTAAACAATTTAAAGTGTTATAGTGATTTGTAGAATACAAATTATTGATCTATTGATGATAACTCAAACTCCAACATAATTTCAAGCTTAACATTCAGTTAACTCGTTCGCTACCGATCTCCACATATATGCGATGCTGCGGTCATTGCCACAGACCGAGGTATCCATTTTAATATTTCACATAGACCGAATGTCACTTGGTTAGCATTAGACCTACACGCAGACTACAGGCTGCAGCAGAGTAAAAAACAGTTTTGCCAACTATCACATTACGTCACTAATCATCATATCCATAGTCCAAGTGATGCACATAAGCGACAGACATTCCTGTAGACCACTGCAGAGAATTCAGGGTCTTAAAATAGACCGTTACGAAGATATAAGCTTTTAAATAACAGTATCTGGGGACTGAGCTATGGCTCGGTGTAGTTTATTTCCATTTTAAAAGCAATATAAAGTAAATTCACGTTTTATTTACAAAATTAGGCTTATATTTTGGCTTTTATTATATAAGTTTCAGTGGAATTTCAATTCGTTATGATGGAAATTTTAAGCTGGCAATTCAAAACACATTGATTTATTTTACAGTTGATGGTAAAAATCACTTGTTTTTTAAATAGCATTAATAGCCTACATTTGCATAAACATTGTTTTGGCAGTTTGTTTGAATTAAAGCAACTGATTGAACATTCATATCGAGCCCAAAGTACCCATGAACTTTTGAGAAAACTACAAGTCACACACACCCCCATAAACCATATACTTAAAATTTTCGTCTTGACGAGAAACCTTGTGCAAAACCATACATTATTTCATAAATTGCCCTTTAAGAGTCTGTTATACCTAGGGCCTTGGTGGTGCACTGGACCGAGTTGTTCCGAACTACGTGGGTCATTTTGATTTCAAGCAGGACGTTGTTCTACCTGTTTTAGACAGAACGTTGTTCCCGCGCTTGGGTGATAGGTGTGTGAGTTGGGCCCTGGGGCTGACTTCCGAGGGTGTTTCCCCAAACGTGATCAACCGAGCACAACTTTCACTTCTAGACCCCAAACCCCGGGTGCTTGTTACCTACCAGCTACTGCCAACCTGCAGTCGTTGTGTTTCGACAACTCGACCCCACAATTAAAGCCCACAAAGTAAAAGACATTAAAACATTAATATTGATGTTGTGTCATCAACATGGAATACGGAAATCGATAAAATAAAGTATCGGTATGGTTTTTTATACACAAACTAAGCACTTTTTTACCAAACTGAACATTATTTTAGTTAAATTTTGCATGTAAATGAAACATTCATTTGGTTAAACTGATATATCGGTTTGATTAACATAAATAGTTTATACAGTCCAACTATCAGTTCTATTTCATGTAAAAAGATTAAGCAGCCCTTATATGAAATACAAAGATAAACAGTATTTGTTAGGCCTAGTTATTATGTCTTTTATTGCTGGCAATATTCCCGTGGCGGAGCACGGGCGGTTAATTTGTAAATGAAAAACTCCCAGCTATTCTTATGAATAAGTAAACTGTTGTAGCTGGCTTGTTTCAATTCAATTCAATTATCGATTATTTATTTAAGATGGGGATGCCACTATGTGCGTATTTTAACCCAAATATGAGTGAAGGATGAGTGTAGGATGAGTGGCGCGATCTTGTAGTCTTGTTAGTGACTAAGGCCGACATGTTCCTTAGCTAAGGCCGACATGTTCCTTAGACACAGCTGTTAATTAATAGCCCATACAGCTAATGGCAACTAAGGGACCTACAGTTTATTGTGGAATCCGAACCACATTTTTCCCTCGTAATTAATGAATTGGTCTAATTATTAGGATAGTACTGCGGATAGTCGTAGATGATGTTTGTAGATTTATTATCTATATAGGGGTTTAAATTACCTTGTTACTGTCAAAACGATCCTTTGTAGTTTGTAAGACTACAGCTGTTTCATGCTTCAAATGGAGCACATCATCAGGTCAGTAGAAAGTCAAGTAGTCTTCATATTCCTCGTAGTTTCAAAGTTTAATAATAAATAGACAACAAAACACATAATACACAAAAACACAAATCATTTAAAATTGGTCGACCAAACGACGGTAACAACACAATGTGATACAGCGCCGGCTGAGGGTGAGTCGCGACTGTCACGTGTCGTCAGCGTTGACTCCTACCCCTACTCCAATGTTATCCTTATCTCGTTCCTTTGTTTTTCTGTTTATTGTGTATATGAATAGCGGTGTTGTAGATAATGTTTGATTCAAATGATAATTGTTCGTTAAATATATTCTGTGGTTGTTCTTTTGACGCCTTGTAGACTTCAAACTCCTCAACTGTATCCATGTATCGTCCTTTATTGCAGATTTGCACTATCTCTAAATTATTGTCAATATTTGTGCAATTATGGTTGGACGAAATTAAGTGGTTTGCGTACGCTGATTTGGAATTTTTCTTTGGCATATGTTCCTTCAACCTGGTGGAAAAAGATCTTGAAGTCTGATCAATGTAAAAATTGGGACAATCGTCACATTTTTGTTTGTAAATTCCTCTTTTGTCCATTTTATTAGTTCTATGCGGTTGACTTTCTTTGACAATGGTAGACAGTTTATTTTTTGTTTTGAATGATACAACCACATCATTCTTAGCCAATTCTTTAGTCAAGGTTTGGTTCAGTACGACACCGTAGTTCGCACTTACGAATATTTTACTGTAATCTTGTGGCTTATTATCATTTCTATTGCATTGTTTCTTTATCAGTCTGTCAATCAGGGAACTATTATAGCCATTGACGACTGCTATATGTTTTAAGGTATTTACTTCGTCGTAATCAGTTGGATTCATAGGGATGGAGAGTAAGCGGTGGGAAAAACTATTGTATGCGGCTGTTTCATGGTTATGTGGGTGATGTGATGATGAATGAATCGTCTGATCTGTGGGGGTTGGTTTTCTGTAGATTTTAAATTGCAATTGGCTCAGTAGCGGCTAGCCCATAAGGACTCTCGGACGCCGCCCTCCCAACAATACAGAAATCAATATTTTTTTTATTTATGTAATAAAAAAATAATATGTCGTAATTAAAATTAAATTACAATTACTTACGACTACTTAATCAATATGATAATAATATGAAATGAAATAGTTTTAAATTTTGAATCCAGTAATGACTGTTTTGCGATAGTCGCTTTCATAATGTGGAATGCAGACGGCGGCAACCTCCGTCCCAAACTCAATGCATGTAGTCTTATGGTAGAAACACCTAACAGCGCTGAGGGTGCCGTGACGTCATTCCAATGCTTTACAATAGGGACTCTGGGGCAGAGTCCAAAGCTGCGCGCGCATCCATAAATCAGGGCAGCCACCCTAAACTGGATAATTCTGCATCACACACGATTAGGATAGGAAGAACCATGTTGGCAGCGCTGGAGCCATCATCCACACTGTCACTACCATAAACATTAACTAACCTCACTTCTTTCCATGTCCATGACCACAGTTCAGTTATAGTTTAGTGCCAAACGACCTGTTGTTTTGTGATCAATAGTGTTTAGTGATAGTGATGGAGGCGTAAGGAAGGCAGCGGTAGTTTGTTGAAGATTGAAAGAGCTAAGTAGAAATTATTAATAGTTATACTCAATTGATTGAGTTAGTTAGTTGGTATCTTTGAGTCAATAGCCTAAGTTACGTCTGTAGTTTTAGTATAGGCTAACCTAATCAACCCGAAAACTAAGTAAACTAACCATAGGTAAAGTGACTCGGACAATTTTAGTTATAGTTACTTATTATTAGTCTTAATAAGTTATTACGGGTAAATTTGCCGTGGGCTGAAGGCCTAAATCTAAATATTAATGGACGGCGGCATTTCGTTGTCGTCGACGGCTAACGTCACTAACGAAGTTAGCCTGATTATCAATGAAGGGATCAAAAATATTGACCACAGAATTTCTTTGAAAAAATTAGGACCTCCTAGACCTTTCATGAACATAAACCAAATTCAAAACAGTTCAAAGAATAAGAATAGCTTCACACGAAAATTTTCGCCACATATGTACAATCATGCAGATTGGCTATGTGGTTGTTCAATTAAAAATTCATTTTTCTGCTACACTTGTTTGGTCATGGGGGTTCAAGATAGAGCATGGACTGTAGACGGCATTTCAGACCTTAAACATCTACTGGAAAAAGTAAAAAAACACAAAACAAGTGAAAAACACATAAATGCGTCAATAGAATATGCTGTTTTAGGTAAAGTTGATATTAGATGCCAATTGGACAATGCATATAGGTTAAAAATACAAAAACAAAATGAAGATGTTTCGAAAAATCGATACATTCTAAGTAAGCTAATTGATGCAATTAAATTTTGTGGAGCGTTTGAATTAGCATTACGAGGACATGATGAACGCGAAAATTCAAAAAATCCTGGCATATTTCGTGGTTTGGTTAACCTTATGGCGGAGCTGGATGTAACATTGCAACAGCACATAAATCAAACAAATAACCGAGTGTTTTTGGGTCTGTCTAAAACCATACAGAACGAGTTATTGGACTCAATATATTACGTTTGTCTGCAAATGATTCGTGACGAATTGACACAAACCGACTATGTTGCTATTGAAGCCGACGAAACAACAGACTGTGCCACTTTATCCCAACTAGTATTTGTTATTAGGTACGAGCTGAATGGCACGATTCACGAGCGATTTATCACTTTTATTAGACCAAAAGGCCATGATGCAGAATCAGTTAGCGAAACAATTTTTGAAGTATTAGAGCAATTAAACCTCGACAAAACTCCTGATAAAGTCATTGCCCAGAGCTACAATGGGGCTTCCGTAATGAGTGGCCAACACACGGGAGTACAAGCGCGTGTAAAATCTTAATATAAGAATGCAAATTTTGTCCACTGTTACGCACATCAATTAAACTTAATCATTGAACGCAGTGCTACACAAAATAAGCAGGTTAAGATATTCTTCAGTAATATCGAGGGGTTTTCATCATTCTTTTCCCAGTCAACAAAGAGAACTGCAGTTCTCGATGAGATAGTAAAACGTCGTATTCCAAAAAGCTCAGGTACTCGGTGGAATTTTAAATCCAGAATTGTAAGCACAATTTTTAATTATCAAAGAGAGTTGGAGGAATGTTTAAGTTACATACTCGACGATGACACCAATGACTATGCCACAATAAATAAAGCTGTTGGCCTAAGAAGTATTCTAAAAGACGAAGACTTTATTTTCTGGCTGGACTTTTTCAATCAAATACTGCCCCACAGTGACATTCTGTACAACCAACTGCAGCAAACAACAATTGATTGCGTCAAGGCGTTTAAGTTTGTCGGCGATTTCAAAACTGTGGTAGATCGCGTAAGAAACTCGACCATGTTAGATAAACCGAGAGATAGTGAACCCGAATCGAGCAAAAAGCGGAGAAGGCACGACGATCAAAAACGCGTCGTCGCAAAGGAAGTGTGTGACATAATTACGTCGGGAATTGATGACCGTTTTACGTTTGTAAATCATTTGTCCGCGGCAAAACTGTTTCAGCCAAGTTTGTTTGGGGAGTTTAAAACCAAGTTTCCCGAAAAAGAGTTACACGCTGCTGCGGAACTATTTAGCCTAAATAAAACTGAATTGAAACAGGAGTTAAATGTTATTTACAATAGGGATGATTTTTCAACGGCCACAGGGTCATTAAGACTACTCAACTTTGTCTATGACAACAACCTCAAAGATGTGCTTCCAGAGTCAATCAAACTTTTAAAAATCATAAGCACAATACCTGACTACTTCGGAAAGTGAACGTTGTTTCTCTACTTTGAAACGAATTAAAACGTTTACCAGGAGTACCATGAAACAAGACAGACTAAGTGCGCTTGCTATGTGTTCTATCGAAAAAAAGCTGTTGTCAACTTTAAACTTCAACGAAAAAGTAATAGATCACTTCGCCGGGCAGAAAGAAAGGAGGATGGATTTCACATTCAAACAGTACAATTAAAGTTAGGCCTTATCCTCATGGTATGGTTTTCTACTCATATTGCCGTGGATGTTTTAATATAAAATACAATTAGTCAAGCCTTAAACTCATGGTTTGGTTTTCTATTCGTTATTGCCGTGGGTGTTTAAATTATACAATTCAATCAATGTCAGGCCTTACCGTTTGGTTATCTACTCATTATTGCCGTGGATTTTTTACTATTAAATTATCAATTGTTAGTTATATGTTCAATACGGTGTAGTCCCGTTTTACAAGGCCGTAGGCAGGGAGGGGGTTAGAGGGTCAAACCCCTCCCCCAAAATTCCGAAATTGAGCAGTAAAAATTAAAACTAGGTTTAAAAAGTTGAATTATGAAATAGAAACCACAATAGAGGATTAATTGTTATGTTTTGCAATATCTATTCATATTTAATATAGGCCTAGTTCTATTAGGATAATAAATCTGATCTATTAAATAAATTGGTAAAAACTATTTAAAAAATATACTTTACTTTACTCTACTTATGTCTATTTGCTCATGCATGACAAACAACAGGTGAAATGGGAGTTTTTGGACTATTATTGGACACAGTTTTAGGCGTTAAAATTGCTTCAGAAAGTCACCAAACGGCTTTAAAAATTTAAATTTTTTTCCGGGGGAGGACCCCCCACTTCTGTTGGGGGGTGCTCCACACCCCCCAAACCCCCCGGAGCCCCCCCCTAGACTAGGTCCTAGAGCCGCCACTGAATTGGCTGTTGTATCTGGTAATGATGACGTCTAGGAAATTAATGGTTTTAGTTTCTTCTATTTCAAGGGTAAACTGTAGGTTTTTGTGGAATCTATTCAAGTATGCCTGGAATAAGCTGATTTGTCTCTCGTTGCCGTTAACAGTATGAGGGTGTCGTCTTCATACCTGCTATAGTGGATTATTTTATTGAGGTGTCGGTTGGAATCAGACCAAAGGTATTTATTTTCTACATGGTTCAGGAATAACTCTGCGAGAATACTTGAAAGAGGTGAACCCATTGTTAGATAATACTTGTTTTCAAACTCAAAATAATTCTGTTTCAGTACTCTTCTGGTTAAGGTGACTAATTCATGTTTCGCCTTTGTTTGTAGTGAGGAATGTTTGTCCAAATTGTTTTTTATGTAAAATCGATGTTTCATTGATTGGAACGTTCGTGAATAGGTTGAAATTCACCTTTAGGAAATGTTAACCTTCCCTGTAGCAGCAAAACTAAACAGTAACGGTAACCTAGACTTGTTTTAAAATCTAGTCTATAAACTTAATACAATATTTAAGGATTTTGCCTGTAACATCCCTTTTCCAGCCGCCCTACAAAACCGATTTTTACGATTGAGGTGTAATTTTGAATCTGTTGTCCTTTCATCAGGTATACCAACTTCAAGAGCAGGTGCTATAGTGGTGAGTGAGGAAAGAACTCTCCGAGATCCAATGTATGATGGCAACCCTGTCATGGAAAATACTGCTGTGGTTCTCAGAATTGCACCAACTTGGTTCAGATTTGGTTCTTTTGAGTTGCTGATGAAAACCAATGAACTGGAATTGCCGAAAAAGCTCTTCGATTTCATTATTAAGGTTAAAAGTTTCATTTTCCAAACAATAATACAAGTTATCTTCAGGTTCATTTAATTATAGGACACCATAAACAAGTAGGCCTACATTTTCCCAAGAGTTAATAAATAGCATTGCAAATTCAATGAATCTTTGAACAGCTGTCATTTTGACTTGGTTGTCCGTTTAAATACATTTGTAGGTTTACACGTTTGGTTTGTATTAAATTTGATCAAAAGGATAATTTTCACTCAAGTTATCGGGTGAGGTTCATAAGGTCCAAATTTCACAAAGTCCAATGGTTAAAATATTAATAAACAGAGCGTTTCACAAGGTCCAAATTTCACAAGGTCCAACGTTTAAAATATTAATAACAGAACGTTTCACAAGGTCCAAATTTTACAAAGTCCAACGTTAAAATATCAAATGAACAGAGCGTTTCATAAGGTCCAAAACTATGACATTCAAATAATCACCGTTTCACAATGTCCAAATTTCACAAAGTCCAATGTTAAAATATCAAATAAACAGAGCGTTTCACAAGGTCCAAATTGCACAAGGTCCAACGGTACAGTCTCGGCAAGAAGTCGCTGCAGAGGTTGACGTGGTTCGGTGTTTAGGCACTACACGATCTAGTGTTGTTGCCGCGCGTCACAAAACATCATTGTGGGTCCACAGATACGTTGTAAAGAGTGTAAAATAGTGGTATTTACCCCCTCCGCAGCAAACCTGCAGACTCATCGAATTTCCATTTCCCTTATTTGATTTACACTAGAATATCTCCTTAAAATGATCACATTTATTCCCGATTTAAACAGCATTAGTTTAACAGGTACCCTACTTAGGTTTGCTGCAACAGGGAGTAATCGGTAATCAGTAGTTGAGCGCCGGCGGACGGTGCCTGCTATCTGACCGTGGCAACCACTGTAGAGACTTCTGGCCCAGACTGTACCGTTGGACCTTGTGAAACGCTCTGTTTATTTGATATTTTAATGTTGGACTTTGTGAAATTTGGACATTATGAAACGGTGATTATTTGAATGTTATAGTTTTGGACCTTGTGAAATGCTCTGTTTATTTAATATTTTAACCGTTGGACTTTGTGAAATTTGGACTTTATGAAACGCTCCCAAGTTATCATGTTAAGGGACACACACATGTCACATATGCATATGAACGTGGGGACCCGTGCAAATAGGGTTCAAAACGTGTTTCCGAGGCAAAATGAATCAAGTAAAATACCTATTTACCTCTTCAAGATTATATTTCTTAGAAATTCGGTGAATTGAACTATTAATTAGTACTATTTTTTTATTGTAGAACTACACTATAAAAAGGTTTCTCATCTTCACTTAAACATTTATCTACCATAAACAGATCACAGTTTTCAAAATAGTTGCCTATGTAAAAAAAATGTCATAAACTGTTTAGTCTCTTCCTCTTTGCTTACAATCTGACTGTGGTTAAACATTCAACTGAAGGAAAAGCTGTTAAATTACAATTCACAAATTAACCGTTTTAAACAAGTTGGTCAGCATGACTTGATCTTTGAAAATGGACTTAGGAAAGGAATGAAACGTGAGGGGGCAAAACCCTTAAGAGACCTTTTTAATTACCATTCGTAGTTGCACTAGAGCTTAAGATCTAAAAATTACACCTCAATCGTAAAATCGTTTAGTTGGATGGCTGGAAAAGGGATGTAACAGGGAAACCCCTTATTAACCTTCCGTCGGGCGCATTGATTTTCAAACACCAAAGGGTGCTCACGGAAGTTACCTCCGGGAGTAGAAAAACTATACAATGATGAGTAAAAAACATTTTAACAGCAATAAAACTGTAAGAAAAACATTTTTTATGAGTTATTACACTATTACTTAAGTTGTATATCAAATAACAAATTTTATAAAGACAAATAAAAATACGTAAGTGTTGTGGATAAAAAAGACTAAATTTTGTACTTATACAGTACTATTGTATATTAGAAAACAAATTTTAATAGTGTATGATATAAAAACACGTACATAGTCTAATGAAAATAATAATTTTGTACAAGGACAACTCATTCGATCAAAGCTCTTGTAGACAAAAATTGCATCAGTGTATGACATAAAACACCTATGGTATTATGAAAAAAATTATTTCATAAGGACAACTTACTTTGTCAAAGCTCTTTAGAAAAAATTGCAATGGTGTTTGAAATAAAACACCTATTGTCTAATGCAAAAAATAATTTGTTAGAAGGACTACACGTTTTGTCAAAGCTCTTTTTCTTGAAAAAAAAAAGGTTTCCAAACTCACGCACCATTAGTTCTTTCTACTAAAATGTTGTTCCTTGTCCTCCCTTTCAACACTAGCCAACAATCTCACAATTATTAGTTCTTCATCCATTTTATAATATCGCTAAATATGGTCAAACACAAGGACACACACGGAACTAGGCTCCGGGAAACCCATTACATCACTGGGTGCTCACGGAAGCTACTTCCAGTAATGATGCGAACCACCCCCCCCCCCCCCCCCCCCCAAGGTCGACTGACTACTGGGAAAGGGGTAAGAGTATACAAAACGGATTCCGCAAATGAGGTTCATGAGGTAAATCAGGCCACAGCTAACCAAACACATACTATGGTTTTTATAACAAAAAAAGTAGTGACCCGGATGTAACTTCCGTGATGCGCCCGATGGGAGGTTAAATAAAGATTTGGACGGATGGCGTTTTTGGTGTCAAAAAAAAGCTAGGGAAACCAGTCCCTGGGCTACATATGTTAACATATGTTAATTGTAAACAGTCAATAATTAAATTATTTATGTTGTATTAAAAATGTATATAGTTTTGGATGTTGGTTTGTGTTTAATGATATCTATATAATTAATACGCTACATGAAACTTTGTCGGTTGAACTCCTCCACCATTTCTTAACCGATTTTATCCGTTGATGTCTCATTGGAAAGAGCGTGTCGCGTAGATTTGCAAACTGGCCTTACATTTTTGAAAAAGTCCCTTGGGCTCTGCCCCAGTGGCTTTGAAACTTCCCATGTTATCCTTATGAAGAACATAATTGTTTACATTTTGATCAGCTGTATAATTTTATTGCTGTTATTTACTTTTCAATTCAATGAAACACATTGAGTACATTTATTTACTATTTGAGTTTGTGTAAACATAACCCCCAAGACGGATCGTGTTATAGTATGGTCGTATCTTAAATTTGTGTATTTATCGTTGTTTTGTGTCGCTATGATGGATTGTGTTAGCATGATTGTAACTTAAGTTTGTGCATTTATCGTTGTTTTGTGTAGCTATAATTTGTTTATTATTTGTTTTTTATTTCTTTTAAATGTCTCCGACGCAACGACAACGAAACAAAGACAGGGGGCGCAAACGTGATAACGACCGCAGCTATACAGAACAGTGGCGCGTAATAGGCTTAACTCATCACAGTCTGAACCTGAACCTGGACAACTTCAACTATTTGGTTACAAATGCGCCCTAACACTACCCCAAAACGACTTTTCGTTCTCAATTGGCCCTCTATTAATGACCTGTGTTGCCTGTACAGCGAGGCATTTTGAGAAGGAGAGAACCGTCCGGAATGCTTTAGGTTTATCAATAACGAAGATAAACGGGGTCTGAGTTACACAACGGTAATATTTGAGTCGACTCTCTTAAACTCATTGTAAATATGACTGTTATTCAATCTGAAATAACTCCTGTAATACTTTGTAATTGCTCGAATTCGAGCAACATGTACACTAGTACTTATTATTGTCATGGCAACCGATTAATAAACAGTTGCAAATTGTTGCCTCTTAAGTTTACTATGGCTGATTTTCATGAGCAAAGATGTGCAATAAAGTGTTGTGTCAAACTGAGGGAAAATGATACGGATACTTACAGCGAGTTGAAAAAAGCTTTTGGTTGTAATAAAAGAGTGTAAGAACCTGTTTCAGGTGGCATAAAGACTTTAAAAATGGACGAGAATCATGTGAGTTAGGACCAATGCGAAAAAGCAATGGTGATTATGTTCTCTGATTATCGTGGTATGATGTATACCCATACTGTACCACAGGGTCAGACAATTTTTAGCATTCAAAAAAATAACTCATGACCACATCCCAAAAAAGCAGTCAGACCTCGTCAGACGCTGGAAACTGCATCACGACAATGCTCGCCCCCATGTTGCCAATACTTTGCTTCAGTTTCTTGCCAAAAAAATCAAAACTGTGCTACACCCACCCTACAGCCCTGATCTGGCTGCAAATGACTTTTGTCTGTACCCTCAGGCCAAAAAGGAGCTCAAGGGCCGGCTTTTTCAAACTGCTTCTGCAGCAGTTAATACTTTAGAGGCGATTTAAAGGTTCTGTCCAAGGAGGGCTTTGAACACGTCTTCAAGGAGTGGCAGAAGCGCTGGAACAAGTGTGTGGCTTTGAATGGCGACTACTTAGAAGGAGAAACAAGTGTTAAAGTCTAAACTTTTATATTAAAGGTATTGAAAAAGTACTCAAGGTCTTTATTGAACACCCTTTTGTACAAAAATGTACAATAGATCTTTTCTTGTTTGGATCCGCTTGGCGCAAACTTAGGTGGTCTGGTTGGCCGCCATCATATGAGCTGTTTTGTCCATATTCTCTTAAATAAAAGTCAAAATCCATAGCTTTGTATGGAATTTTTCAGATGTTATTGCTGTATTTTTGTTTGTTTGATATAGCATTGTAACTTGTATGGTTTTGAAAGTACAGTAAAAGCCAGTTCATCCGGCATCCAATGATCTGGCACTTTCAATAATGCAGTATTGGGTTAAAGGTCTAAACAATGTTTTTAAATTCTGTTTTAAGCCGTAGCGTGTTTGGATGAGTTGGGAGCGATCGGTAGAAAACAAACAGAGATGTCAGTAATAATTGCTTTCCAGCTTACAATTTCCTTTTGAAGGTCTAAAACATTTTGGCAGTAATGGCTGCTTTTTAAAAGATGTTTATTAATCCGGCGTTTTCAATAATCTGCCACCATCAAAGTATAGACCATGTCAGATTAGCATCCACTGTATCTGTTTCAGACTTTGGTTTAGCCCTGTTAAAAGTCCAGTTGATAGATGTCTGAAAGAGAGGGAATCAACTGTATCTGAATAAGAATATTTTTAAATGTTTTAAAAACTGTTATTTAGATAACCCCAATTGGCAATTTTATTAAAATCATTCTACAACCTGCTGCATCTAAAAAACAAAAAAAAAACACTTTTATCTACTTTCATATCATTACTTGCTTGCATTCGTTCTCTATTGTAGAACTATATTAACACCATTACTGAGTTGAATGCTGAACTACAACGATTGAACCTTCCTTTTAAGGCTCTTTTTAAGGTTCAATTATCAATTATTTTTAAGATGGGGATGCCACTATGTGCGTATTAACCCAAATATAAGTGAAGGATGAGTGTAGGGTGAGTGGCGCGATCTTATAGTCTTGTTAGTGACTAAAGCCGACATATTCCTTAGACACAGCTGTTAATTAATAGCCCATACAGCTAATGGCAACTAAGGGACCTACAGTTTATAGTGGAATCCGAACTACATTCTTGCCTTGGTATTAACGAATTGGTTTAATTTCTAGGATAGTACTGCGGATAGTACCGCGGACGTTAATCCACACCAGGGAATATCCACAGTGTGTCTCTATAAATATCCACAGTTCAATAATCAATGGTTATTATCATCTTCTGTTGATTAATTTTGTTTGTCTTTTCCCTTTCAGATAATCATGTACAACTTAATGAAGCTGACTGAGGCTCTCTTCCCTCTTCTAACTGAGATTCAAAAGAAACAAACGTCAGATTTACTGCAATCTGAAGCAAACTATCTCACAGACAGTCTTATGTAAGAGTAATTTTTTCCTCTTTTATAATTCCATTTTTGCTTTTTAATTTAACCTGGAACTACGCTATCAATATATATTTTTACAATTTACATCACTTTATTTTGTATGCAAACTGAGGGTTATATACCCTCAAATCTGTTCAGTTACATACCATAGCAAAGTGTGGTGTTATAGTTGGTATTAGTGATGGTCAAAACCAGAAATTTTGAATCTCGAAACCAAAACCGAAACTTAAATAATCGAATCCCGAATCTCGAATTTCAAAACTTGAACGCGAAACTTTTTAGTTACCTGGTCAAGGTTGCTAAAAAATAAAAATACAAGTAATGATTACATTTTCATTATGATTATGCAATCAAACAGGGTGTCTAGTAGTCGGGAAAATCGGGAAAGTCGGGAATTAGTATTGAATTTCAAAATGGTCTTGAAAAGTCGGGATTTAGTCTTAAATTTGATTTCAAAGTCGGGAATTTTTATGATTTTGCCGCGATCGTCGTCTTCTGTTTACGTAACCGCGAAAGCCAATGATGATTGTCCTCACGGCCTCGGGAAATGCTCACGATTTTACCGCGATAGTGAACGACGACGATGACGTTTCCGAAACCACGGGAGACGACGATGACCTTTCCGTGACCGCGGGAGATGACGATGACGTTTCTGTGACCGTGGGAGACGACGATGATATCTGCTCGGCCGGGGGAAAAGTTCATGATTTTGTCGCGATCGCGGACGACGACGATGACGTTTTCGTAACCGCGGGAGACGACGATGATATCTGCTCAACCGCGGGAAATGTTCATGATTTTGTCGCGATCGCCGACGACGACGATGACGTTTCCGTGACCGTGGGAGATGACGATGACGTTTCCATGACCGCGGGAGATGACGATGACGTTTCCGTGACCGCGGGTCTACACGGCCGCGGGAAATGTTCATGATTTTGCCGTGATCGCGGACGATGACGATGAAGTTTCCGTGACCGCGGGAGACGACGATGATGTCTACACGGCCGCGGGAAATGTTCATGATTTTGCCATGATTGCGGACGTCGACGATAACGTTTCAGTGACCGCGGGAGATGACGATGACGTTTCCGTGACCGTGGGAGATGACGATGACGTTTCCATGACCGCGGGAGATGACGATGACGTTTCCGTGACCGCGGGTCTACACGGCCGCGGGAAATATTCATGATTTTGCCGTGATCGCGGACGATGACGATAACGTTTCCGTGACCGCGGGAGACGACGGTGATGTCTAAACAGCCGCGGGAAATGTTCATGATTTTGCTGCGATCTTGGAACGTTTCCGTGACCGCCGGAGATGACGATAACGTTTCCGTGACCGCGGGAGATGACGATAACGTTTCCGTGACCACGGGAGATGACGAGGACGTTTCCGTGACCGCGGGAGTCGACGATGATATCATTGATATCTGCTCGCCTGCGGGAAATATTCATGAGTTTGTCGCGATCGCGGACGACGACGATTACGTTTCCGTGACCGCGGTAGACGACGATGATGTATACACGGTCGCGGGAAGTGTTCATGATTTTGCCGTGATCGCGGACGACGACGAGTAAGCACTGCAGTCAATGATGATGGTTAAAAGTACGGTACGCGGAAGATTTCATGTAAAAAAAACCAAATTTGCTAGTTATAATTTTTTATTGCTGCATCATTTCTTTACTTGAAAACACCACATTATCATAATACTACTTTATGACAAAGACAAAGAGTTGGTATAGTATTATTTAGAAAATTTGATTAAGCTATAAAAATTGGTATCAGTATCAAGAATCTAGAATTGATACATTTTGGTATCAACACCCACTAATTGTGGAAAAAACTAGTCTTGAAAAATCCGGAATTAGTCTTGAAAAGTCTGGAATTAGTCTTGAATTTTATAATGGAAATAAACTAGACACCCTGATCAAAACTGAAAGAGATTGACTCCTGATGTGACAGATAAACTTCAAACCCAAATAACATATTTTTTATAAACAACTAACATTAAAATAAATGCAACTCTTGACATTGAAATAAACATAAATATTACATGAATTAGAACATTTAGTGGTCAATATTTCTTTGTGTTTAATAAATATCGAATATTGATATGAAACTGAATTCTATGCTGTTCCAGTATTTAAGATGCCTTTTGCAGTTCAGAATACAATTTACTTGTTTCATTAGTGTTAATGGAGATGTGTTTGCTCGATTGCTACTAGCTTGGGTGTAAACAATGCTAATAATAATGACACAAAAAATGTAATAATTTTCTAAAATATAAGTGCCAAAACTTCCTATTTCGAAACTTTTGAATCTCGAAACTCTGTGATCGAATCTCGAAACCGAAACTTTTCCAAAGTTTTGATGGTTTTGAGATTTGGTTTTGACACATCACTAGTTGGTATTATAATGAAATTGGAACGTCATTTTAACATTTACACTAGGCCTATTATAAAGAACCTCATTTTTTCAAACGTAAACTCATTGAAGCCTCTGTGGAGTCTTTGAGTAAATTAATGAAAAATTAAGAGAGAAAAAATAAAAGTCATGTAAACAAAAAGAACAGAAAGGAATAATGTTTATTTATATAATACAATGGATTATCTTTAAATCATCAGCTGTTTTAGTAATTTAAAAATTCTAAACAGGCTAAAAAAAATTTTAGATAAAAGAACTGAACATACTCCCGGCCTTGAAGTGTCCTCACTTCAACAGTTAGTTTAGAATAAAACACATTAACACAGTTTGTCGTAGGCTGGCTATAGCAGCTGGTTGCTTTTTTATACTTCTGCTTTTCAACCTAAGCCAACCTTGCTGGGGATACAACTTAAATACGTTTGCTGGAGACCACTGAAGTCCTAATACGTTGAAATTATGATCATCAGAATTTTGAAGACCCTTTGGAGTTTCATTATGAGACTGAAGAATATAAGTTAACAACAAGTCTTTAGAGTTCATAACACATTTATTCAATTCAAAAAATTCTTGTTTTAATAATTCAATGAGTTGTGATTGTAAGGTGAGTACTTTTTCTGTAGTTTGTAATGAATGAAGAGTAGCTATTGGTCAGAGCTCCATCGGAAGATATAACCACTTGACTGGATTGCTGGACTGTCTTTACTGTAGTGGTTGCACTGTGGGTTGGGTTAACGGCAGCACGTTCTGTCGTTAGGATAGAAACCCGGTCAGTAGGATGGGTGACAGCATTATCAGTAGGGTTTATAACAGCATGGTTACTTGGGATGACAGTAGTGTTGGTTGGATGAATAGTAGCACTGTCACTTGTCAAGGTAGTTGAGCTCACTGTTGTATCTGTATTCGTCGGTTGAGGTTTTGTCACTGTCACTGTGGTATTTGTAATTTTCGAGTTTGCGAACTTAGGCATAGTGTTTGCCACCGGCCTCTTTATTGTGATGAGTTTTGTTTCAGGTTGTATAAGCTGGGTGCCTTTGATTTGAAACTCACTTGATGGGTTTCGGTTTTTTTACATTCATTGCAGTGGTTCTCTGAGGTTGAGCTGGACTTGATGAGTTTGGTTTGGTTTGGAGTCATGACAGAGTTGTGAAAACTGATCATTTGAACGAAACTTCCGTTCCATAGCATATAAACGTGTTTCAGCAGCTGGCTTGGAATCACCTAGAAAATGATCTGAAGAGTCTTTGAAAGGCAAACGAACAATGTAACGTCCATTTTCATCACGAGTAACAGTTTTTCTGAAGTGTTGGTCACACAGTGCCTCTTCATGGGTTAGACTGGTTGATGTAGGGGGTTCTTCTTGTACCCAAAAGCGTTGTAAGGAAGCGTGTAAATCACTTTTTGACAGTCAACAAACATTGAGTGAAGTGGCAGGTGTGTTATTGGTAATCACAGGGTTTGTGAGGGAGCAAGGAGCGGTACCCATAAGTACAAAACCGAAGCGAGTTCCTAAAGCAGTAGGTAAGTTAGGCCCAAGTGAAATTTGGTTTTGAGTGAGAAGTTGAGGGAAAATTGCATTTCCAATGATGAGGTCAATACGACTCGGTATGTGAAAGGAAGGATCAGCCAGGTTATACTGTTGAGTGAGTTGAGTGACTTAAGATGAAATGGATGAACGAGGAACATCAACTGTCAACTTTTCAAGGACGAGAGCAGGTTGAGCTTCGACTACCATTTTACCAGACATAGTTTGGAGATCAATTACAATCTGCCCTCTGTTGGTTGTTACATGTTGATTGATTCCTGATAGTTGGATATTGGACTTGGTTCTTTTTAAATTCAAGATCCTAGCTGCATGTTCGGTTATTAAATTACACATACTGCCCGAGTCAAGAAGAGCTCGAAACACATGTGGCTCACCAGAAGAGGAAGTGATTTTTACTAAGAATGTTCCAAGTAAGACAGTAGTATTTTCTTCGAGATTTGTTTTCATAGACTGATGTGGTGACACTAGAGAAACAGATGTGTTTGGAATCATCTTAGACGATTCTTGATCATCAATGTGATTGTTTAACTGGTTAGAACTAAGTGAAACTTGGTTACTTTTGTAGGTACTTTTGTTGGTACTTTTTTCAAAACATGCAGTTTTGACATGATCAAAATGCAACAGTGTGTGGTGCTTGTGATTTCCACACTTTTTGTAAGATGACTTAGATTGACAAAATTTTGATGCATGTGATCCGAGACATTAAATACATTTTTGAGATTGTTTAACCAACTGGTACCTTTCATGTGGGGACATGGCAAGGAATTTTGAACACGAGTAGGTTTTATGACTTTGTTGATTACAAAAAAAAAAAACATAGAGTCTTGGACATCATAGTTCAATGCTGATAAAGCTAGAGTGTTTTCATTGAAACGATTGACAAAATCTCTCACACCAGTGATTTTTGAACTAGAAATGTTAGGTAGATCTAGCAGTTGATTTAAATGTAAAAGTTGTAGACGCCTGTCATTGTGGTATCTTTCTCTCAACAAATTGTATGCTACTGCATAATTGGGTCCAGTAATT